TTTGGTGGTGATGGAACTAATGAAAAAGGTTCGTTGCTGTCGTTGCACAGTAATCGGACTAGCTCTTTTCCAGCTGACAAAATCTCCACATCGCAGTGTAAAATTGTTGCATCATGACTTCCTCCTAGGTAGGACATGTAATGGCGCGAAGCGGCTCAGCTCCCACTTGTTGGGTTTGAGTATTTGGCGGCTCGTCCTTGTTGGGCCTGGGTATTTGGCGGCTCGTCCTTTTTTGTTGGACAGTCCCGGGGCTCCGCCCACCGAACTGGATTGTCGGCTCCTTGGCGAAAGTTCGGGGTGATTGAATCCTTCATCGCCTGTACAGGACACCGGAACACAACACTGCCACGACAGTGAAAACACTGAACTGTAGCACAGAAACAGCGGCCTTTTGTAGGCCGTTTCGCGCCATTACATGCCGTAGCTAGGAGGGAGTCATGATACAACAATATTGGCAATGCTCAGGATTTTTAAAACGCACTAACAGAATGTTTCCTGCCTAAGCATTATCAGCTCAACGGCGCTCCTCGAATTCAGTTCCTAAATATGCCGAGGTCTCAAGTACGGCCACGTGAAAGTTTTGTCTCAAAGATCACTCGAAAGCCAGAAAATTAAAAGATTGAAATTTTTAAGGTCTTTCGCCAGGCGCTTTTGTCAGGAGCGCCGTTGAGCTGATAATCCCTTCAAGAGATGAAACGAAGGTTAAGATTAGGCCAGTGCCAACATTAGTCAAAGCAACTTGAAACAAGCGCCAACTGTATAATTTTAGAATCAAATCATGAAAATTAACAGCTGCCCTGTATATTTCAAAATTTGTTTGTTTTTTCATCGCTTGCTATCCCGATAATTTTTCTTGCTACCTCTGAACTGCTCTGAATTAGAATTGGACCGAAAAGGAAGCACTGGAAAACAGCGAAATTTCAGGTTCTTGCGATTATAATGGGGTCAGTTTGGCGGTGGCTTGTCTAATTAATCTTATTCATTATCTCAAGTTCAGCAGATAAAAACAAATTTAAGAGAATCTGCTGATTTTTGGCAGAGCAGTGGGCAATAAGATTTTTAATATTTGACGTAATTTGTAGGGTAATTTACGCGATTATCTGCGATCACGACGGCCAGAATGTGATGAAAACATAGACAATTTGCCGATACCATCAGAAGGCGATTATATTCGTTGGGCATCTCAAATTGCTGATGGAATGGGATATTTGGAAGCGCTAAAATTCTGTCATCGTGATTTGGCAGCTCGAAATTGCATGGTTCTTTTTTTTTACGCATTTGATGTATTCTTGAAAATTTCCACGAAAGTCCCGGGCAGCCCTAAGCAACTGAGTTTGAAATCTTTTAGTCTTTTAGGGTGGGAGACATCCCTGCAAAGATTCAGCTTCCTAGTTTTTTCTCCTTCAAGTTAGCAATTTCCCCGCCAAAACCTTCACGTGTTCCCAGGTGACAGTTTTGACACTTGGGGTCGCAGTTGGCCAGGGAACACACAGGCAAAATTTCAGCGTCAAAGCTTACGTAATTGACGAGTAAAAGCACTCGGATAGATGAGCACACACACACACACACACATGTATACACAAACATACACACATGCACAGGCAGGGTCGCTGCAATATTTTTGCTGCCTGTTGCAGCGCTCTAGCGCTTCAGGTTAAAAACGCATAAAAGTGGATTGTGGGATATTTTGCATTATAAAGGGGTATTTTGCATAGCTGTGGTTTAATTTCAGCGATACACGGTATTTTTTTAGCTGATATGCTTGTATCCGGTGAGCTTTACGTTCGAAGAGTTAACTGCTTGAAAGCATTTGTTAGTTGATTCTTGCGCCCGCCTATGATTCACAGAAAACCATTTTTTGGGATAGGTAAATTTGGCTGAAAATGGTGTATTTTTTTAGCTTATACTAAGCAAAATCTTTGGTTTTTTTTAAAAAAAAGTAAAAAACAGTTTGTTTCAGGTGAATGAATTTGATACAGTGAAAATTGGTGATTTCGGTATGGCAAGAGATGTCTATTATCATGAGTACTACCGACCTGGAGGTATTTTTACAGCGCTTTGATCGATGACATTTTAGACGCCTGAATCGGCTGGCTTCCTTAGCTGTACAAAAGTGGCGATTTTCTCAGCTGCTTTGAATTGGGCTACCTCATTTTTGATCTTACTTTTTGTTCTCTAGCGAGATTTTACCATCAGCGGCTCTTCCGACAAAAGCACCTAGCAAAAAAAAAAAAAAACTCACCGTTTTAAGATTTCTTTGAGTACCAAGTATTCCCGACGCGTTCTAAATACTACTAAAAATTCTCAGGTCTTGGTGGTGAACCTTATCTTCTAGGAATTTATCGATAATGCAGTCTCGATTTGCTCAAAAATAAACCTCGAATTTTGGGAGCAGTTTTGAAATTTCGTAAATAAAATAGAATTTTGTAAATTTTGGTTTTTGTAATTGTGCGAAATTTTTGTTTTTTGTAATTTTATAAAAATTTTGTTTTTTTGTAATTCCATAAAAATTTTTTAATAAAATTTTTTCAAAAATCTTTTAAAAAAAACCTCCACGGATTTCTTGCTCACTGCATTCTTCATAATTTTACAAATTGATCGTCTCGTTTTGGGTGGATATATGACTTATGCCAAAGGTCAGAACCCCCTTGATATTTGCTTACGGAGGAAGATTACACTCCACGTTTGTTTATGAGAAGTTTTCATTGATAAATTCGAACCTTCCACTTTTTGCAGACTTGCCAAAATGATAGTTTTTTTCTAAAAATCATTTTTATATGTTATAACTTTAAGGGCGACGACTTATGCCAGTGCGTTGGTTGGCGCCGGAATCATTGTTGGATGGTAAATTTACCCTGAAATCTGATGTTTGGTAAGTCTATTCGAGGATTGATGTTGATTATGTCTTATTTGAAATCATAGCGCCGAGAATTTAGAGGTAGATCTGTGTGTGTGTGTGTGTGTGTGTGTTTACAATTTCGAAATAAAGCATGACTACACCAGAACATCCTTCGGTCAGTTGATAATTTGTACTTCTTTCGTTTTTCTGCTTCTTTCTGTAGTCTTTCTCGTTTCTTTTCCTTTTCCCATTAGGCACTGCGACCGTTATACTGACGAGATTCTCTTGTAGTGTTGAGTTAAGACGTATATGACTTAATGGGCCGAAACGTCTTATCTCACTCTTATCTTCTCTCATACTGCCCTTTCCTGCTGCAATCCATCGCGCCTTCGCCCACTTGGGCTTCCAGGGTCAACCTGATTGCTACAATCGGGTTTCTCCATCTTTGCAGCGGTCAATCATTGCAGTTGCTTTGACCATTGCTGTATCACCTCTTGCCCAAAGAGTTTATTAGTTCAGCAGCCCTCCCTCCGACCATAACATCTCCTTAAAATTTGAGCCTCCCAGCTTCTTTGGTTCCTGAGTCAGCGATTTTCCCACCAAAACTTTGCACGGACCGTGCGTGGGACCCAGACTTTAATAGTTTTCAGGGTGTTGCGTCTTGTTCCCACCAAAACTTTTCACGGAACCGTGTTTGGGACCCAGACTTTAGCAGTATTCAGGACGTTATCCCTCGTTTTTGTATGTCGAGCATCGCGAGCACGTCTCTGTGACCTCACTCTGACCTCAACAGCTGTGAGAGAGGCATATATATAGCCTCTTCCATATACATGCGTGTATACTTCTAGATAATGTAATGTTTTTTTCTCGTTGTCTCTTCTCTTCATTCTCTCATTCATCCGTTTAACCTTACCAGCATTGATTGTTATCATTTTGCATGTACAGTCTCTCAAATAGGTTGCAGCTCCCAGGTTAATCCTGGAAGGACAGACAATGGGGCGCGCAAGCAAAAAAGGACAATGAAGTTTGGGGATAAGAGCGAGCTAAGACGTTTTGGTAGAGATCAAAGCCTGGCAATAGGTACCCCCGGCTTCTGCGTAAATATCCGTCAATGACCAACAACGTGGGAGGGGGGAGGGAGCGAGAGGGAGGGATGAGGGAACGAGAGGGAGAGGGGAGGGGTCTCTGTATAGATTTATCCCATGCAACTTATACTTAGGCTAAAAATATTCAGCAAATGCACTTTTTTTTGCAGGTCATATGGAATCGTTCTTTATGAGATGCTTACCCTGGCACAGCAACCGTACAAAGGCATAGCAAATGATGAAGTTTTTGATTATATTGGTGTCCAGAAACGAATTATGGCAAAACCAACTGAATGTCCTGATTTTTGGTAATTTTTTAAACTTACGTAGGGTAATTAATTAAAACCGAGAACAAATTTTCCATTAATTCAGAAGCCTTGTCAACGAAGCCTCTAGGGAGACGGGAAGAGAGCGAAAGGCCGGTTATAAAAAAAAGTTAAAAAAAGCACCCCGGATCTGCCAATGGTTATAATAAATAGAAAATTTAGAGATAGCCCTATAGGATTTGCTAAAACTGAAGATGCTTTTTTTCTATCAGGTACGATCTGATGGCACGATGCTGGAAATTTAATGCACGTGATCGTCCAACATTTGCACAAATTGTTTTCATCCTACAGAGGCATGCCGAAGAAGTGGGATTTCATGACGAGGAATTCCAGGAGGTTATTTTAATTTTTCCAATATTAATTTTTAGAAAAAAATGGACATCACTTTCCTACTTGTACGATGTCACCTTTTTCTCATCCTTCATATTTGCAGTGCAATAAAAGTTTGTAGGAAAATTTTACGGCAAATTTACAAATATTGGATTTTTTTGTTGATCGTTCTATGCTATCAAACTTTTTCTGCTGCAAGCTAATAGCTAAAAGAACTGTGTTTCAGATGGAGTGAGGACTGTACTTATAAAAAAAATAATAATGTAACACTAGCAACAACAACGGTAATAATAATGATGATAATAATAATAATGACAATAGTGGTAATGACAGTGGTAATAGTGATAATAGTGATGATAATAATGGTGATGGTAATAATAATAATAACAGTAATTATAATGATGACGGTGGTAATAATAACTACACGATAATAATAGTAATAGTAATAATAATAATAATAATAATAATAATAATAATAA